GAACACATACAATCCATTGTTAGTATTCTTTTCAAAATTTTAAAGTTTTGAAAAATCTTTTTCTAATTAAATCTCAACGCTTGACTTGTTGAGTTGGACTTGACTTCACAGTTTGGATTCGTGTTACCCGTCTTCGCTTCTTTCTTCTCTCCCTCTGAGTTAATTTTTTTTTTTTTTTTTTTTGGTATTTTCATTCTACACCCCTAAAATGAGCCAGCAACGTACCACCTCTCACTCACTTAGTGATGATGAAGGGATGTCTTCAGGGAGTGATACCGGTGAAGGAGGAGCCAAATTTTTTGCTACTCGACCTTCTTCTTCCTCCTCGTCTTCGTCGTCTTCTTCCTCTACGGCCTTATTGAAAAAATCAAAATGGTTAGCTTCGCATCCTTCAGATTCAGAAGCTTCGTCGGACTCCGATTCAGAAGTTGACTCCGATTCAGGTTCAGACTCGGACTCTGACGTTGACTCTGACTCAGACACTTCGTCGTCGTTGTCGTCGGTTTCTGACACTCAGGAGAAAGACCCTTCATCCAAAAAAATTAAACCTGGTAGTGTCCTCACTCCCGCTTCAACCACTTCCTCTCGTTTTTTAAAATCTAAAGAATCTACGTTTGATGAAAACTCTGACAGCGAAAGTTCGGAGTATTCGTTTCTTTCAGAATCCGATGAAGAAACGTCGGAAGAATCTTCAGACGAAGATGAGGTATATTGGATCACACATCTGCCTTTTTTTTTTTTTTTTTTTTTTTTTCACTTTCTATTTTTAGTCTTTCCATAAGCCTTCCCCTTTTCTTTAAAAAAATAAAATAAAATAAACGGATGTTGATTCATACAAATTCAAACAAGATTCAACTCCGCCCTTTTTTTCTTCTTTAAAAGTTATTATTATTATTATTATTATTATTTTTTTTTTTTAATACAACGTTTATTTACACTCTCCACGAATAGGGAAGTGTAAAACATATCATTTAATTGAGAATCCTCTCTTTTCCTCGCTATATACAAAAATATAAAGCATGACTAACACAATGACTCTGACTACGATTTTTCACTCTTCATTAGCGTTCTTTGGAACCTGAACAACGCCGTAACCGGTGGATCAAAGTGGCCACCGATGAACCTAAGGTGGAAGACTCAAAAAAGACGGAGCCTAAAGTCAAAGCGGAGAAAGACTTAAAAAAAACTAAACCCAGTGTTAAAGAAACCAAATTAGAAAAGGATACCAAAACCAAAGATGCCGTGGCAGAATTAATTGGTGAAGTGAACCCAACCAATATCTTATCGAAATTAGCCCTGGTCATGGTGGCTCGTGGTCGAAAAGGATCGGATCGAGAAGTCATCATCATGGCATTGCAACAATTACATGCGTTAGCTACGTTACCCCATCAAAAAATTAAAATTTTATTTTCTTTGGTCTCGTATTACTTTGACACCGTGACATCCACCTTGACCACCTCCGTGGTATTGGCCCATTGGAAATTAGCGTTGACGCATGTCTCTGAAATTTTAGATGTCATTGAACAGCATCCTTATGTGTACTTAATGGAGACCGCTGAGGAAATGGATGAACTTGCATTGATCGAGTTAGAACAGAAAATTCAAAAGCAATCCATGTCGTTCAAGAATTCAAACGACGTTCCTGAATCGTGCCGTGTCTTTTTGAAATGTTCATTGATCGCTCAATTGGAACGGTTAGACGATGAATTCTTGAAACTGATGCAAGGGGTGATGGAAGCCAAGTCCATGGAGTATCGAGATCGCTTACGTGATGAAATTGCCGTGTACCATCAATTGTTACGTGCTGAACATTATTTTAGATCCATCCAGCATGTGGACGCCTTGCATCGGGTTTTACTCCGTCGTATTGAACATTTATATGGCAAACGTTCCTCGGTTGTTGAGAAACTGCATCACATCATTTACAAAAAGCAACCCAACTTGTCCTCTTCCACGTCCATCCCCTTGTTGGAGTTGTTCACGTTCTTGTACCATCATGGCGATGACCGTGCACGTACCCGCACGGTGTTATGCCATGTGTACCACCATGCCATCCATCGTCAGTATTATAAAGCCAAAGAAATGCTGTTGATGAGTCATGTACAAAGTGTCATTTATCAAGCCGATCCTTCTACCCAAGCGTTGTTCAATCGTGTGTTACTTCAATTAGGTCTAGCAGCGTTTCTTCAAGGTCAAATGAAAGACAGTTATACTTTTTTACATGGTTTAGTGACTTCGGGAAGGTTGAAAGAGTTGCTCGGTGTCGGTCCTCCGTTGGTGGCTTGGGATGTGATTGATGTGGTGTATTTTACGGCCAGTATGTTTTTAGAAGTTCCGAACATGGCGGGACATCCCTTTGATCAAGCCCGTCGTCACGTGTATTCGAAACCGTTTCGGAAAACCTATGAGATTTATGAAAAGAATGGGTTTCATGGTCCAGCGGAATCGGACATGGATGCGTTGATGGGATGTACCAAAGCGTTATTTCAAGGTCATTTTCAACAAGCTTTAGACATGTTGCTTCATCAAGTGAGTGTTTGGAAAAAATTAGAAGACGTTTCTTTCATTCATGCCATGTTAGCCACGCAACTTCGTCATGTGGCGTTGGTGACGTGGATGTATCATCAAGCCCATCATGTCAGTTCCTTAAGTGTGACTGCCTTAGCGTCGCATTTCCAATGGTCGGTTCCTGAAACCATGGCCCTGGTCTCGAAAATGTTGAAACAAAAGGAACTGTTAGGTCATTACGATGGTGTGAACGACCATGTGATGTTGACACCCGCACCTACCAAGTTACAATTCTTGTCCCATCATTTAGCAGAGAAATTGGTGCAAGTGTCTGAATTGCATGAAAAGATTTATGAAGCCAAAGTGACGGTTCGTAAAACTGGGCGTGGTGGAGGCAGTGGTGGTGGAGGAGGAGGCACGCATGGTCATGGTGGTCGAGGTGGTATGGGGCACAGTCACCTACGTAAAAAGCAAACGGTTTCATAAGAACCCACCTCCTCAGCATTCAAAAAGACATAAAAAGTAACAACAACAACAAACAAACAAAAAAAAAAAAATTACTTTCGTAAAAAATGGTTCTTCTTTTTTTTTTTCTACTTTAAACGAATAAGGATGTTTTTCATATTTTCATATTTTTTTTTTTTGATGGATGGATAGGTTTCCATTTTCTGTTTTTCTTTTTTTTTTTTTTTTTTTTCGTTTTTTGGAATGGGTAAAGTGAAGAAAGAAGAAGAAGAAGAAGCTCATTCATATTTCTTTTCACCTTTTAGAACCCTTAGACTTTCGAATCCCTTTTTATTATTTATTATTTTTTTTAACTTATGAAGTTTGCATATGAGATAGATCGATCACCTTGAATGGGTGTGGGTGTTGTCCATTTCCTTTTCTTGATCTCTAATGGATTCCAACATGCGTCAATCACTGTGTGAGTAAACGGAGTTACTTTTCAATTTATTTCATTCTATTTTTGTTTTTTGTTTTTTGTTTTTTGTTTTTTGTACTAATAGAATCCCCCTTCCCTTTCCTGACCTATGACCCATCCATGCAAAGAGAAGAAGAATATACACAAGAGTATTGTTTTAAAACACCTTTGTTTATGTCATGTCCCTTTCCTTTTGTTCGTTTAAAAAAAAAAAAAAAAAAAAAAAATTCCAGTTGAACTTCTCCTTATTAGTGTTGGATAACACACCTTGGCTTGGTCCTTCACTCATGGTTGTCTTTTTTTTTTTTTTTTTTTTTTTTTTCAGTGTTTCTATTTCTTCAACCCATCAAAACATGGACTACTGTTGAGATTCGTTCATGTGTAATGCTATCAACACTTCTCATCCCTATAAGCTTAAACTGAAAAAAGAAAAAAAAGAAAAACATAAAAAAAAATGCACTTTACCGTTGACATAATATTGTCAACAGAAATAGATGTTCTCCTCAGTATCGTTTTAAAAAGAAATTCATTCAAGGTTGACTTAAAAAAAGAATTTTAGACAAAAAAAAGGGTTAATCTAAAAAAAAAAAATAATTAAAAAAAAAAGCTTTATATAGTTTGCATTCATTTCTCTTCTCGGTGGTTTGTCCGAGTGGTCTAAGGAGACGGTCTCAAGTTCCGTTGGCATTGCCGCGTGGGTTCAAATCCCACAGCCACCAATTTTTTTTTTTTTTTTTTCGGTTTGCGTTAATTAAATAATTTATTTTTTTAATTTTTCCTTTAAATCTTTTTCATTTTCACTTTTTTTTTTCATTTTTTTTTTTTTTTTGGTACGTTGAAAACAATCAAAACTCAATGAAAATCACTAAACGTTACCACCAACAAATAGAAGGATATGCCTACGTACGGAATTTACGACCATGAAGAATTTCACTCTTATTTTTATCAACCACCTCACTCACACAACGAAGAAGAATGGAATGAAAGAACATCCCTGACGACCTCTTCTTCTTACTTTCATCACCCTCCACCTTTAACTCCGTCGTCTTCAGCACTTCACCTTGAACCCTCTAAACCGTTCCACACGCCTCTCTCTCATCCATGGACATCGTCGGTTCAAGGAAAAAGGGGAGTACGTCCACGTGGCTCCATTCGGTTGGCCTCCACCTTGTTCTTACCCGCTTCTTCCCCTTCCTCCTTCTCCAAAGACTTGTCGTCGGTACCCTCTCCTGGTCTTTCCAACGACATGACTTGTGGTTCATCCCTTGTCTCTTTTGAACAATGGAAATCCACTCTTTTGCTTGGGGTCCCTGATCAATCTACGGCTTACAAGGATTACCTTCAGTCAATGTAAAGTAAAGTGGAGTCCATGTGTCCTCATGGCGTTCCTTTTTTTTTATTTATTTCATTTTTTAGGTTTAGGAAAATGTCACTTACTGTGGTTCATTTCCTTTATTATTTTTTAACTGCATGTAGAAATGAATGTCGACGAATGTTTGAAACGGATTTTCAACTTCAATCCAAAGAAAATGAAGAGGTAAGTAAAAGGAGTTCTTTTCAATAAAAAAATTTAGGTCCATTTTTTTAACTAGAATAAGAATAAAAAAAAAAGAAAGAAAGAGAAGGGAATGGTATCCTTATCCTTACAACAGTACTCCAATTTATTGATGCCTTTCTTTTCTTGCTTGGGTTTGGATCTATTCTACACGGTTTAGCTTTTTCGTTCGGCTATTGAAACCTATGAAAAAGCAGAAGAAGAGCGTCGACGGTATTTGCAATGGCAAGAAGATGAACGAAAAAGATTGCATGAAGAACACTTAGCTCAAGAAAAATTGGAAAAAGAACGACTAGAACAAGCCAAGGAAGAAGCAGAGGTTCAAGCTCGATTTCAAGAAGAATTAGAAAGAAAAGAAAATGAATTACAAGAAATCCAACATCGTCTCATTAAAGAAAAAGAGAACGACAATGAAAACGAAAACAAAACCAAAACCGAAAAAAAAACTTCCCCTTCGTCTTCTTCTTCTACTTCACCTGTAGAGACCACGGCTTCTTTGATAGCTCAATACCAATACACTTGTTTAACGTATGTTCAACAAAAGAAACAAGCATGCCATCCCCTTCCTTCCACGTTGCAACGTGCGAAAATGCAACTGAATCGAACCATGGGTCAAATCACCAATACCTATTCCGTGTTACAAACCACCATCCATCACTTGGTTCAAGTGTTACAAACCCATCCTCGTTTGGAATACACGTTTGCCAAATGTGTCACGGCTCAAGCGGCCTTGGAAATCGGAAGAGCGTTACCCCGTGCCTATGCATTAGCGCATGTGGTCATTGGAGTGCTCACGTATCGACCTGAACTTACGGCGTTGGTGTATGGAACATGGTTGAAAAAGTGTCCTTACATCATGCCTCGGTACCCTTCCTCCGAGGGTCATCCAAAAGATCAACATGACTTGAATCCAGTGTACCTAGAACAAATGGGTGGGATTGTGGCTTTGTTTGCAGCGTGTTTAGCCACGGTGCCTTTCACAGGTATATATATATATATTTTTTTTCTTGAAGAAGAAGAGGAAAGGAAGAAAAGGAGATATCTCCTATCTATCTATTTTTTCGTTTGTTTGTTTTCTTGATCATTGAGAGGTTATGTCACTCTTTCGTTATACTTACTGAACAAAATCACTTCTACTTACACCTTCCCTTTTTTTTTTTTTTTTTTTTTAAATGTTCCATAGACAAGTATACCAATCCATTTGATTTTAAATTAGCATGGACATGGTTATCCCATTTATTAAACCAACCTCCACGGTCTGAAACGGGTTATTTTTTAAATGTCTTTTTAACCATTGCAGGACACCAAGGGGTCGCCAAGTATGGGCATCAAGCTAAAAAGTTAGTTCATTTTTTAGAAACCCAATACATCCCGTTACTTCCCTCCACCGCGGTGGCAGATAAAGAACGGTTAATGATGTGTTTAGCCAAGTACCGATCCTTAGGTACGTTTGAAAAGTTGAAAGAAAGTGTTCCCACCATGGATTGATCCTTAGTATTAATTTTCTTTTGTACATGACATGAAAACAACTACTACAACTACTTCTACTACGACTAAGAATTAAAAAAAAGAAGAAAAAAAAAAGAAGGGTGTGTGTGTGTGACTAAGGTGAGAGAAAGAGAAAAAGAAGAACATCTGTTTTCACTTCCACATGGAATCAACTGGAAAGAGAAAGTCAAAACAATTATTTTTTTTATTGTAAAAAAAAAAAAAAAAAAAAAAAAGAGTGGTTTTTCTTTTTTTTTTTTTTTTTTACTTTCTTTCCTTTTTTTTATTTTTTTTTTTTTTTTTTTAAAAAAAAAAAAAAAAAAAAAAAATAGACCCAACCCACTCCACTCCCTGCTGAATAAACTTTCCATTCCATTTTTGATTCACTTTTTTTTTTATATTTTTTTTTTAAACTAAAAAAAAAACACCTTAAGACATAAAGTTTAACCAAAAAAATGAAGGAAGTGTGGTGTGAGAAGTGAAATAAACAAAGAAATGTCTTCGTTCAATCCAATGGTCATGGTGTTCACATTCAGTAAAGAAAAGTTCAGAAAAGTGAAAAGTGAAATAAAAAAAAGTTGAAAAGAAAAAAAAAATTAAAAAAAAAAATTAAAAAAAAAATTAAAAACTCAACTCATTCTTAACTTCACTCTCTCTCACTTCTTTCATGCACAGTACCTTCTTACCCACTTACACCTACCGCACTCTTACTCTTCTCTTACCTTTCCACACGAACCCTTTTATCTCCATTTGCTGAAAACCTAAACTCAACATGCTCTTCTCGGAACTCAAAAAGTGGCGTCGTGCTTTCATCCCTCCTCCACTCACCACCTCATTGGAAGGGTGGACCCCCTCTTCATGGACTTCGTGGCCTCGTCTTCTTCTTCTAAAGAAGAAACTAAAAAGGAAACCAAGGACTTCCCTCTTCGCTGTCTCTCCTCAAGCTTGGCTTCCTTATGAGGAGGGTGGACCTCGTTTTTTTGGTTCTAAACAGTTGACCACGTCGTTGGTGGCCACCTCGTCGACTTCTACCCATCCTCATTCACTAAAGATTCTTCCATTTCAAAGGAAAAAAAAACGGTTTTATTTTGGAGGATGTGGGGTTGCGTTCATGGCTGTGAGTGGTTGGTTATGGAGTCGTGGTCAGCATCAAGAATGGAATGCTAAGGGTGGTTTATCATTTACTCATGGGTTAGAAGAAAACGAAGACATGGCATCGTACATTTCACATCCTTGGCAGGTAAAAAAAAAAAAAACAAGGAGTGGTTTTTCTTTTTTTTTTTTTTTTTTACTTTCTTTCCTTTTATTTATTTATTTTTTTTTTTTATTAAATCCACTCGTTTTGTTTTCTTTTTTTTAATGGTGATGATCCTTGTGTAGCTTCAATTTTTACTTTCACTTCCATTACGTTGGTTTTCAAAGTACTGGGGTCACCTTCAAAATGACTTTGACCTTCCTGTTTGGTTACGACGTCCTTTGTATCTTTGCTATGGTAAGTTGTTCAAGTGTAATTTCAATGAACTGATGGAAAGGGATTTAACCAAGTACCCAAACTTAGGCTCCTTTTTTCAACGTCACATCGATTTACAATGTCGACCTTACCTTCCTTCATCCCTTTTGGTCTCTCCCACAGACAGCACCGTCATTTCTTTAGGTACCTTTCTTCCCCATTCCTGTGAAACGACGACGGCAACGACGACGACGACCCCCCACTCTTCGTCGTTACGGGTGACCATTAAACACATTTCCTATCATTTAAAACGGTTGGTACCCACTTTCCCTTGGTTCTCTTCCTCTTCCCCTTCTTCGTCGACTACTTCGGTTTCCGTTTCGGATAAAAAAATCAGTTACATCACGTTGTACTTAGGACCAGGGGATTACCATCGATGTCATGCCCCATGTGCGTTTGAACCTCACCTATGTACCCATGTGGCTGGAGAACTGTTGTCGGTGAGGCCCGCTTTACAAACACGGTTTCCAAACGTGTTGACGTTGAATGAACGGGTGTGTTTGGTGGGGTCATGGAACCATGGCGCCATGGCCATGGTGTTGGTCGGGGCCACCCAAGTAGGGACCATCTTCATTCATGGCATGCCCACGTTCTCGTCGTCGTGGTCCTCCTCGAACACCCCCCCTACGACCACGACCACGACCACGACCACGACCACGACGGTCCCGGTCCCGGTCCAGACCTACGGCAGGGCCGTGTATCCCATGATGCAGGAAATCGGTGGCTTCATGTTTGGAAGCACCGTCGTGTTGGTGTTGGAAACACCTAACCATTTCGAATGGGTGGTGCAACCGGGTCAAAAAGTCTTGGTGGGTCAAGTCTTAGCTAAGTTAACCGAAGGAGGAGGAGGAGGGTCTACCCATGAAGAAAATTAATAACCCATTGGACAGGCCTGTTTTAATTCTTCATTTCTCTTTTTCTTTTTTTTTTTTTTGAAGACTACATACTTTCATTCATACTTATATACCCTCATTAGATAAAACTTAGAAAGGTTTACCTAAGGTCTCATTTCTTTAGGACCATAGGCAATAGTTAATTCACCCCTTTTTTTTTAAAAAAAGGTATTTTTCATGCTTCATTTGAAAGCTTTCTCAATTTGAACTTCACTTTTACTTTTTTACTTTCTTTTATTTTCTTGTAAATCCAATCCTTTTCTTTCTTACTTA